CCCAGCGCCCCTCGCCGCCCCGGGACCCCATTTTGCCTCATGTTTGTGTTCATTGTCCCCGGCAGGCCATGGGAGCTGCAAAATGGACCCCCGCCCCATATGCACACAAGATGGCCCCCTTGTCTCCCCTCACACAGAGAAAATGGACCCTCGGCCCCACATGCACACAAAATGGCCACCTTGTCCCCCCTCACGCACACAAAATGGACCCCCGCCCCATATGCACACAAGATTGCCCCCTTGTCACCCCCCCCAAAATGGCCCCTTGTTGTCACCCCCTCACATACAAAATGACAAAATGGACCCCTGCCCCACACGCATACAAAGTGCCCCCCCTGTGACSACCTTCACACACAAAATGACCCCCCACACCCACACAAAATGGCCCCCTTGCCCCATGCACACACAAAATGGCCCCCCAGGGGAGCCAGGCCTACAGAGGACCAGAAGCAAAGCGCTGCCTGAAATCACCGGGCAAAAGGAGGGTTTCTAACCGGCCTCCCGCCATGGAGCGTTTCCAACCACAAATTCAAGGAATGAGGTTTTTCCCACGTGAGTCTCACAAGAACTTGAGGTTCTGGGGAGCCGCAGTGGGGCTGTGGGTGCTGGGAGATCACGTCAGGCCATGGCATGACAGCGATCCCTCCACCGTGGGGAYGGAATAGCGATTCCTTGGGTTTTCACACATCACTTCATGCTGACGCTGAGCCTGGGTCTCCAAACGGTTATGGAAACAGTCTGTGAGGACATAGCTGGTGTGTAGCTGTAAATAATGCTTAGGTTTAAGTAGAGCTTTGCACTGAGCCCCTTTCATCCCACTCCATCTTGCAGTTGTTTCTCCCAGAGCAGAAGTACAATTATTTTGTTTTCTCTAAAGCCTCTGTTGCCTCAAAAGAGCACTTTTCACCGCTTTCCAATCCATGGCATGATCCCAACCACCAAGAGTGACCACCAGTAAAGCTAGAGCGATGCCAGTACARTTGTTAACCCAAATATTAAGGTATCTGCTCTGGAAATCACAGGGCAGCTCCTACACTCTGGGCACCTTCCTACCCRGGAAAGTCAAATCTTGGAAACACAACCCTGGAGCACAAAGGGGAAGAGCTGGGAAAATACTTCGAGGTTAAAAACAACGTACATCCTGACCACCAGTTTTTAAAGTAATACTGAAAACACTGCGGTTACGACTGAAGTGGGAACGTGTGAGTCTTTTTGCCCAGGAAGGGAATGGAAAGCCAAGGAGGCACCAGGTCAAGTGAACGGGGCAGTTCTCAGTTGACATAAGTTGAATTCCTGCCAAATTCCCTACATGCAGCCTGAGCAGCCCTCCCGCTGCGTCTTGGTCTTCAACCTCAAGAAGAAAACCAGCGTGCGAAAACCTATCCCCTCCTGATGATTACAGCRGTTTGGTCATTGGTTCCCTGGGCCACATTTTCAAGGGATTTTCTTTTTGAAGGAACTTTGAACTGAAAAAGGCTGCATCTTTGTGAAATCTGCTCTTGAGGTCTTCAGTGGGAGTCAGGTTTACTGGAGGAGTAAGGAGTCTTCCACCACCTCCACCCTGTCTGCCCCGCTTAGCAGCCTTTGCAGCCCTGCCTTTGTTGTTCATGGTATTTCCATAACTGAGCAGACCGAAATCTTCGACTCTGAGACCTCCAGTTGCATTCTCAGAATTTTGCTTTCCATATTTCCGAGTACAGTTTCAGATGTTCAGGGTCACTTGAAATTAGCCACCACATGGGGAACTGCGTGGGGCAGGACATTCCTAGTGCGAGTTCTCTGATCTCTTGAACTGCAGAATCTAATTTCACATGGCTTATGAGAAGGAAAAAAAAGAAGAAAGGACAAAGAAAACTTTGCATTCCCCTTTGAAAACACAAAGCACAATGTAAGCATGGGTCAGGGCATGAACTTCTCACGGAGCAATCTTCCCCCTGCTCCACCATGGTATAGAAGTCCTGCTGTAGCAAGGATGGTAGATATCCAAAGATGCATCTTCCAGGAATGGATCTGGTGAAAACCTAGACAGTGTACACGAAGTTGAGGGCTGTGTTGTGAAGGTACCAATGCCCCAAGACTTAAATTTATGACTCCAAAACTAACGTAGAAGGTAGGTAGGCTCCTTTCCCAGGCTTTCCATCACCCCGAACAAGCCCAGGGCCACTCCACATTCCCACACAGCGTTCACGGATGTGTTCCTATACGTTCACACAAACATCCACCCAGCTGGTAGGCAGATGTGCGCTCAAAAACACGGCAGAGCTCAGACACACATGCGCTCACACACGTTCCCATGCACAGATGTCTTCACAATATAACGTTGGTTTTGTTTCAGGTTTTGTTTCTGCTTTGTTTGGGGGTTTTGAGCCGTGTGCTGATAAGGAACATAGCATAAGCTTGGCTCTGCCAGTGCTTGCACATTTCTCTCTCCTGCTCTRCAATGTCCTGTGCTGTTGTATCTGGCAGCCCATCTCCAGTCCTGACCTATACAAAGACCACGTGGGTTCACTTTGTTGTTTTTTACCGTCTGGAATATGCTCGTTCAACAGGATGGCAAATCTAGCTGTATCAGCAAAGTAAAGAATAACAGGCATAGAAGCCTCAGAAAAGGCTCAAAAGCTTTTTCCCATAGGTCTCCATTGTGCTCAAACACTTGATTTATTTTTCCCATGTTAATGCATTCTGAAGCTAGTAGCAAGGAAGGAATTAATGAAACAGATTAAGCAGGACGACATGCTGACAGCACAGTAACTAAATCAGTCAAAAATGCATTGTGATTCTAGGGAGAGATRATGTGCTAGACCACTGCAATACAGTCTGTCTATAGAGAAAGAGGGTAATAAAATTAAGAGCAGAATAGGAGAACAGCTTGATCCAGCAAGCCCAGGGCCATCAGTAGCACATTTGCCCTCTGCCATGGCAGGACATAAGAAATTAGAGGAAATATTTTTTCCTGGGTGTGATATATACCTCAAGCAGGAAAACTTCAGGTGGCAAATCAGAAACCGGGTCCCTCGGTCTCCTCGGGGTTCAGGCCAGTGCTTTCCCGCTCTGCACATGCAAACAGGGAGGAGAGAAGCACAACCAGGTTGCACTGTTTTTAAGCAATGCAAAAAGTGCCCCCCAGCCTTTGGCAACTGCATTTCATAGCCTCTTATCCCCAAAGAGGAATACCATGGAGAACCTGGGCAATGTGCATAGCAATGGCTTGCTTGGAAAAACATCCCTTGTGCTGGAAAAGATGGGAATTGATCCTGGCAGCGCTCAGTCCAGCAGAGGCCCCTCGACCACTGCTGATGCCGGCAGCACCTGAACTCAAAGCAAGGATGCAGCCCCAGGGACAGCCCTTGGCTCCATCCAGGAACTGATAGCATCTCACAGCCTCTCAATTTGCTTCCTGTATTTTCTGTTTTGAAATTGGTGTTTTAATATCTTGGAAGCAGGGGAAGGCAGAGGCTTCCTTGGAGGGAAGCACAAAACGTGGCTTTATTCAGCTAGAGATCCCAAGGGACATCAATCTAAATCCATCAAATTGTCACKCTTGACGCTACAACTTCTTCATGAATCGGCAAAAAATCAACATCTTGTCCCTAAATAATAAATCTGATTTTAACATCAGGATTCTTCATTACCACATTTCTGCACATGCAAACCTGCCCCAGCCTGGCTGTATTTAGTTCATTTTAAATGAATTTACTCAGGGTGAAAGAGGCAGGACCGAGAGGTGCAGACACCCGTGTTCATTCCGGTAGGTACTAAACAGGAAACATGAGTGACGTTTCCAGCTGCAATGCTTTACTCATGGGTGTCACAGCAGGCTGATCGTGGAAGATAGTCCTAAAACACAGCCATTTTTCACAGACACCACTTCTACTGGAGAAGCTTTCTTGGGGTAGCAAAATATCCATTGCAGCACAAATTGCTGATGAGCATTTTAAGGGTGGCCCTATCCTGGCAGGATTGTCTGCTTTCTGCTTGTGTAAAACAGCAGAAGCTGCCAACCAAGGTGCCAAGGAAATGCTGCTTCCCTTGCACTGCATTGCCAAGGGGTCCTGCTCGCTGGGCAGGCACCACCTTCTCTTCTAGGAGCAGCTTAAGCCCACTGAGTTATTTCAGCTGCTCACCCAGGACAGCTGCCCCACAAGAAGGGTCTGTGGCCACCAGTTACTGAAAGTGCCTTTCAGCTTTGCCAGCATGCTGATAAGCACCAAAATCCCGTTTTTTTGCTTTCCACTGAAGTCTTCGCTAACTTGCAGGAAGCATGCACACATGCAGACGTGTGCGAGCAGGCACAGGAGGCCAGGACTTTTGGAAGCTGATTTAATACTGTTCAAATAACCAGCCTTGCCCCCGAGCTTCTTCACGTGCTCGAGAAATCAGCCTTTGCAGCTGAATTCTGTGTGTGTCGCTGCTTTATTTTGCCTCTCCTTTTCCATATCACCAGATTCCTACAGGGACAGGGCTTTGCCTCTGCTCTTTCATCAGACCGGCTTTGGTGGTGCTATTTCTAGTGCGTAGGGTGTCCTTGGTGTCACTGAGCCGTGGCACCGTTTCCCAGCCCAGCCTTAAAGCTGCTCCTGATTAAAACACCCCAGCAACCACACAGAGTCTCTGTCCATCTCTTGTCRCGTCTTCCTGTCACATCGTCCCCCACAAATCAGCTCCAGACTGGTTCCCAGGGTGGCAGGGAGGAAGCAGAAACATCAGATGGTTTTGTGTCTGCCCTGACTTTCCTATCCTGTCCAAAGGTGAAGGGCAACAAAACCCAGTCACATCTGTCCCTGGA